ATTTCCTTCGACAATCCATTACATCTGAACATGTTCGCTGCAAACCCTACGTTTGACCGTGCCGGAAGTCAACTGATCGCGACATGATCACGCATGAAGATAAATGGAAGCTAAAAAACAATTCAACATATTTGTTCAAAGGGGGTGGGGGATTTGATCCCTTATGAACATTAGATTCCCCTAGTAGAAAGCATGCCTGTTAAACTTATGGATGTCTCAGCCCGATATCAGGATTGGTTGAAAGCAGCAGGCCACAGTCCTTACTTGTGTCGCCAGAGAGTAGCGGGAGCAGGCTGTCACGAGGGATGCACGGTCTCGGGCAGAAAGACCGACCGTCTTGCACCCACCACCAGAGTCTGGCAGTCTACCCGGCTGCCTGTTTTGGGCCATCCTTCTCTGCATGACTCATGCACTTAAATCTTGGTCTGTATTGAATGTGTGTGTGTGTGTTTGGAGGATGCAGATCATGTTTGATTTAGATAGTAGAATAGTAGAGGAGAGATCTTGAACTTGTTGGGTGTGGTCGAGCGTGGGGTTTGGCGCCAACATGTTTCAGCATATATAATTCAACTAATTATAGTCATAGTGGCCTTGATCATTTTGAACCATTCAGAATTCAGTGCAGTTGGTGCTTTGCAGCCAATCTCTGGTCCTGTGCAGTGCCCTGCCGGGAATGCCACCACCACGAACTGCCAGCGTCTCCTATGCTTGTGCGTGGAGCTGAGTTTTGTAGATGGGTCTTTCCCACAAGTTCAATCAGGTGTGTCTGAAAATGGGTGGGATGGTCATCGGAATTATGATTGTATAATCCGTTGGAATTGGGGTGCCCTATCTTCAGTCAAACCCAATTCCACTGGGGACAACGAATGAAAATCAAGAAGCATTGGATTTTGTGTCACGTTATTTTCAGGCAAACCCTGCTATTGGCTTCCGAAAAAAACACCTGCTGCAGAGGCTTTGTGCAAACCAATTGAGATTGGCTGACCTTGAAGCTATTACCCGAAAAACATAGAATTCCGGCACAAAAAAAAAGCGACTATAGACCACATATTTATGTATATATATATATACGCAGTAAAGAGATCCAATATCATATTTGGTATAATGTTTACAATAGTTGAATATTTGAGTTCATATTCAAGTTCTAACATGATATAACGATTGAAAAATGATACTATGTTGAGATATAGTTTTTTGTTGAATAAGGAACAAATATATAATCTATGGCAATCAGAAATTATTTATACAAAATATTTTTTAATATTATTTAATTAACTATTTTCCGCGCAACCAAGAGACCCCAAACACTGTGTTTGTGGAGATAATGTAGTACGAGAATGTTGAGATTGATGATGATGAGGAGGAGGAGGAGAATCTTGTGGACGACGATATTGAGGATGATGAGGTCTAGGATGATGATGATGATGATGAGGATGATGAGGTGGAGGATGAGGATGATATTGTGGAAAATGAAATGGAAGATGAAAGAATAGAGAAAAATGATGATGAGAAGGAAATATTTATCGATATTGATAATAAAAATGGATGGGGAATAAATTATTATATTATATATTTAAGAAACATAATAATTAATTCTTAAACATATATTATATTCGAAATTATAAATACTTAATTTATAATATGTTTTGAATTAAAAAAACTCTAATAGAATTAATTTAAAAAAATAAATGTAGTTTTTCATAATTATATATTTATAATAATAAGGTTGTTATTTTGATTTGTTATTTAAAAATGGATTGATAATAATTGTGATTTCTTATAAAAATGATTTGAAATGAAGATCTTGTTTTATGTATTTTGTTTTAAAAAGTGATGGCGTTAATTTTTTAAAATGCGCCATCTATAGACCACTTGAGGGATGGGATGTTTTGCGCCATCTATAGGTTCCCGACACACGTGGTTGAAAATAACCTGTTTTCCTCTAGGTTAGTTTTAACTTAGTATTAAGATCTGGGGCCCATTTTTTTTGGAAAACCATAACTGTGGATTGCGCCATCTATAGGTTACCGCTGCGTTCTATTTGGAAAGGGAATGGTAAAGGAGGAGGGAAAGGAGAAAGGAGAAAGGACAAGGAGAAAGGGAAAGCAGAAAGGAGAACGGAAAAAGGAAAAAGGGAAAGTAGAAAGGAGAAAGGGGAAGGGATAGGGACAGGGAAAGGAGAAGGGTAAGGAGAAAAGAGAAAGGAGACAGGGAAAGGAAAAGGGAAAGGAGAAAGGAGAAGAGGAGAAGAGGAGAAAGGAGAAGAGGAGAAGAGAAGAAGAGGAGAAGAGAAGAAGAGAAGAAGAGGAGAAGAGGAGAAGAGGAGAAGAGGAGAAGAGGGAAGGAAAAGAAGAAAGGGAAAGATGAAGGGAGAGGGAAAGGAGATAGGGAAAGGAAAAAGGAGAAAGGAGGAGGGAAAGAAGGAGGGAAAGGAGAGAAAGGTGAAAATGAAAGGGGAAAGGGAAAGGAAAAGGGGAATAGGGGAAAAAAAAGGAAAGGGAAAAATATAATGAAAGAAGGAAAAAAGGAAAAAAGAAAAGGATTTGACTTCGGGAAATCATAGTTGTATATTATATTATTTATAGATTATTATTGCATTTTATTTATAAAGGAGGAGGGAAAGGAGAAAGGAAAAAATAAAAGGGAAAGGAAAAAGGAGAAAGGAAAATAGGAACATTAAAAAAAGGAAAGGAAAAGGAGAAACAAGAAAGGGGAAATGGAAAAGAGAAAAGGAAAGGGAAAAGGGAATGAAGAAGGGGGAAGGGAATGAGAAAGGGAAAGGAGAATGGAAATATGTTTTTGTTTCGGTTGAAAAAATTAATTTAATTGGATATTATCGAATTAGAGCGATATATTTGAGCTAGCGCGTTATGGTATATATGGTATGTATATTTGGTATTGTATATATGATAGATATGGTAATTATATTTTATATATATGATATATGTAATATATATAATAAATATAATAGGGGTTGGTAACTGTCTCATTTTGGAAATATTGAATATTACCTTATAATAGTTATTATAAACCATATACCTAATGGTTGGGTGATGTTTAATGGGGACATTTAATGACCCATAAATAATAGATATGATATGTATAATATTATTGGAATCTATGATAGATATGATATACATGAAATATCTGTATTTTTTTGAAAATATATAAATAATAAATAGAAAATAGATATATAATATATATATATAATTATATATGTATATATATTTATATATAAATAGTATCTAGATAATTTGAGGGAATATATAGGCTACATAGGTCGCCTAAAGAATAATATATATTTAGTAAATTCGAAATTAATAATTAAAAATATTATAAAAATTTAGTAAATACGAAATTAAACCTCAGAAATGGTTGGTAATAAAAATTTACAAATAAAAGGAAAGAAAAGGAATATAAACTAAGGACCCAACCCATTGGGAGGGAAAATGACAGGAACAAAAACAAAACGAAACCATTTTTT